CATGCAAGAAAGATGGGCGATCTCCTCCCATGCAATTATATTGCTTCTGAAAACCTGCCTCAGGGTCAGCTATGAGTCAGTTTTAGCTCAACAGTATATAACAACGTAACTCCACTATTGCCTCACCAACACAAATGGAACATGTTTCTTACTTAAGCTTCTTGTTATGTGCCATTGAGTTGAAACTAATTCAAAGCTAACCATCCAGTGGGTTTTCCATGATTGTAAATTGTATGGGAGTACAATGACCATTTTTATCCTACGGAGCAGCTGGTGGAGTTGAACCACATCTTTAACTTGGCAGCACAATTCTTTACCTACTAGGCAATTCAAATCCAGCTGCTTTATGAGAGAAAAATGGACAATCTCTTAATGTGATATTTACAACCTCTAAAAACATGCTGGAAGGTCCATTATGGTGGGTTCCCACTCACCAAAATGAACCAAAAGAGATAGGTACTTCAAGCCTCTTTTTAACAAATAAAAAGGACTCAGATACTTTTACTCTTGAAATTTTACTTAATAGAAACTTTGACAGTTAAAATTAAATACTAGTACTCTTGGCATAAAAACAAAGTAAACATCTGAATCATTTAAAATATAAAAGGTCTTATCTTTTGCACAATACAAACTACTGAATATATTTGTGTGATCCATCTGTTTCTTTCCCTCCCATAGATTTTGTTTGTTCAAGTAGTTGTGAGCCAGATGGACACTCTGAGCGAGCTTAGGGTAACTTAATCCCACATTTATATACTGATTTGGTGGTAGCTCTACAGCTAGTACAAATAAAACACTATAATTCTTCAATAATAATTGGCTTGCTTTTTTAGCCCAAATTTCAATATAAATTTAAGAAATAAAACACAAACCCACAGTCAAAATAAATGCAATATCCACAATCCTATAATATATGAGTTTTTTAGAACAAATTTCAATTACAAATTTTAAAAAATCCAAAACACCACAATGCCACTGTCATCATTTCCAAACCATATTGATCATACAGGACAGAGTAGAGTCACTCAACAGGGCTCCCCAGGCTATAATTTTCACAGAAGCAGTTTCATATGCTTCTAGAGAATAGCTGGTAGGTTTGAACTCTTAACCTTTCAGTTAGCAGCCAAGTACTTACCCACTGTGTCACCAAAGCTCCTTTCAATTATACCAGAGCAAATTTCAGGAAACTAGCACTGATTGTACTACAGATGTTAAATACACTTCATCTATAAATTATAGCTAGAAGATATGCAGTGACTAGTGAGTTCTACTGTATATTCTACAGTAATATATATTCTAATTTTTTCTTCAATGTTTCTTGATTTCTGTTTTTTAACACTGCATAGTACTCCATCATGTGACTGTACCATAGTTTGTTTATCCATTCATTTGTTGATGGATACGTGGCTTTTTGCTATTGTAAATAATATTGCCATGAACATGGGTGTGCATCTACTATAAATTCTTGCTGCTGCTGCTGTTGTATGTTGTTAAGTTGGAATTAACCCATAGCTGACATTCTATTGGGGTTTTAGAGACAGTAAATCATATGAGAAAAGAGTTCCCATCTGTAGTTGGTGGATTTGAACTTGTGTCTTTGGGATTACAGTGCAGCTTCTAACAATAAGGCCACTAAAACATCCTATACATTCCTAGGAAGAGCAAATAGCAAATCTGCAACAAAATCAGAACTTTCTGTACTATTTTTTGCTTTTTCCCCCTAACCATAAACGTGTCCTATTAAAATCATTCTGGTGCTTGTTAAAAAACAGAAATTCTTAGTAATCCTTTGAGATGTGCTAATTTAGAGTATCACATTTACATTTTATTACTTAACCCTACAGAATAAACAAAATGCATTACAATCTGATTTTTAATTAGTTTTAACTATATTTTGGGACATTCTTTGTTTTTTAACTACATATGTTGACTAAAATAAAATTGTACCAGAGTGTTAAATACTTCAGTAACAAAGTTGAACAAATTCATGATCCTCCTTTATAGAGGTAAAAAAAAAAAAATCTAAAATCCACAGCCAGTTCAATAAAAAAATTAAAACTCAGGAATTTTAAACACTGAAAAAGTTTCTTGGTTTCCAAATCTCTAGTCTCAAGGCTCTCTGGCAGTTTGAGCAGGAAGGTGTTTTTCAGTTCACAGATAACATGAAATCCAGTAACTATTTTCTAACCCACAGTTTATTTAGTTCCTTGAAGGCATACAACATAAAATGTTGGGGATATTTTTCAAAAAAATGACATTAAATGATCCTAATAAGTATGATAAAGTTAAAATACATCCTAACTAGGTGAGAAGTGAACTGAGAAAGCATCACTTCAGAAACTCAGGCCACACTCAGTACTGCTCATAGACTCCTACTTCCAACTGAATATGCATGTCTACTTGAGTAACAGTTGCCTCAAAAATATCTTCACCCTAGGGGAGCTCTGGTGGCCTAGTGGCAAGAAGCTGCACTGCAATCCCAGAGGAGCACGGTTCGAATCCACCAGATGCTCTGCCGGAGAAGGAGGCGCAATATCCTCCTGTACCAGTCAGATTTGATTTGACGGTACATGCACACACACAAAAAAAAAAAAATTAAAAAAAAAAATCTTCACCCAGTAGTTGATATTTCCAGGCAACACAGGCTGAAAAGAATGCCTCATTCTTACTTCTTCTCACAAATACACAAAATCTGACTCTCACACTAGGCTAATTAGGCTTCCCACTTTTGAGTATAAAGCTTGTGAGATAAAAACCCGCATAAACATAAAAATCATTAAAAATATAAAATCAAAATAAGACATAAAATCTAGTTAACACTTTTCCTGCATAGGTACATAGATACTGAAGAGAAATGAACACACATATCTACACAAGAAGTTATATACAAATATTCATAACATATTTTCTTAAGAGCCAAAAGTAAAAATTACCTAAATCAATTAATACTAAAGAATATAATAGATTATTTGCACATATAAAAGAATGAAATGCTGATATGTGCTGCTAAATGAATAAACTCTGAAAAAAATTTTAAGTGAAAGAAATCAGTCACAAAAAACCAATTACTGTACGGTCCTCATTTTTGTGAAAAGTCTAGAACAGGTATATCTATCCATAGAAGCAAAAATTAGAGGTTGCATAGGATAGTGGGGGCAAAGTGGGGTCTTTACATAAGGAATATCTATTAATAGGTATGGTCATTGTTTTTGGGATAATGAAAATAGTTTTACAACTGTGAATAGCATAAAAATCACTGTATTATACAAGTGGTGGATTTTATCATAAGTTAATTTTTGTCTCAACGAAGCTGCTAACAAAACCAGCTACATGCTAATTTTTGTCTCAAGGAAGCTGTTAAAAAATCAACTACTAAAAAAAAAAAATCAACTACTCTGAAAACAGGTCTCCCTCAACATGGTAATTTGAATACATTAAACAAGAACTTCTGGTAGCCATTTCTTTGAATCAAAATGATGTTTGAAAAACAATGATAAAAAGAAGAATGGTGGATACTAAGAGACTATTTTAAAATTCTGTTTCATATGTCTAAAATATTTCTTAAGAAAAAAAATGGTTTTCATAATGTGTATTACTGCTGCAAATAACCTGTCCTTAAAACCTACTGTGTAAGGTATTTAATGCATATTTATTAGCGAATGAGTCAGTGATCACATTTTTCTTTACAAAATTGGTTGAACTCAACCCTTGCTGGCACAAACCAACTAAGGTAAATGAGTTCTTCAAAAAAAAGAATTTAAAAGACCCAATTCAGATCTGCCCATTCAGAAGAAAGGGGATTTTCAAATCACTTAACTGTCTACAATCAAATTAAGAGTATTTCATAATGACAAATAGTTTCAGTCTGCAGGATATAAATGTACAAGTACAAATGTCCAATTGTATACAAGAAGGCTAAGCAGCTCACTTACACAACACTTGCCCAATTTTCTGGAAGGTGTTTTGGGTTTTGGTTGGTGTTTTTTTTTAAAGGGGGGGGGGAAGGCACCAGAAGGGTGTGGCAACTCATCCAAGGTCATTCTACAAGTTAGGGCAGAGATCAGCACCCGGGTTTGTTCCAAAATCTCCAGGGGAAATATTACTGACAATTTCGCAAAGATTTGTTTGGTCTCGCTTCGCAACATAAAGCTAAAAAATGGGCGAGGGGAAAGGAACTGTCAGTTCAGTTCAAAACTTCCAAATAGAGACAGACAGCAACTAAGGATAAACAAACACTTGTGCGGGGAGTGGTTAAGAGCAAGGCAAAGTTACTACTATCAGTCAAGAACATGTGAGTAAACTACCCAAGTCCACCTGACTGTCAAAACTAGGTTAGAGCCTCAATTCACCAAGTCCAAGAGTTCTCTCATACTTTCCTTAGGAAGGAAAGAAACTTGGGATCTCCATCTGCTCGCTGGAATGCAGAGAGGAAACGACGGGTTGGTGTGACCCGTACAGTCTGAGGGTGAGGGGGCAGGTTATTTATGGAAAAAATGGTGTCAAAATAGCAGTGGATTTAAAATAAAAAGTCCAGGATTTCTGAAACACTGTGAGAATGAACGAATGACAAGGGATCTTTGATCATTCCAAGTCAGTCTCGAGAAAACCTTTGCGAAGACCAAGAGGAGTTCATGTTGCCCAGCCTAGTCCTAAAAACTGAAGCGGATTTTCCACGTGAAGAAGATACTTGTGGAGAAGAGCCGCGGCATACAGAAAGGACTAAATTCCTGTGCTTCAGGCAGCCTGCTCGGCTTAACATGCCTCCTCGGGGAGACCACGCTGGACAAGTCCAGTTACAATGGAATGGATCCCTTGGCTTCGCCAGGCAAAGGGGCATCTGCATAGACACACACTCTTTCACTCACTCTCTTTCATTCACTCACGCGTCGCTGGGACCACTGCGGAGGCGGTGGGGTCGGCACAGTATCTGGACACTGTCCTATGGAGGTGAAAGCACCTCCTCACCCAGCTCTGCGTGCCCGGAACTCCACTCCCCTCACCTGGCCCTGGCCCCTGCCCCAGATGAGATGGAAGAGGCAGCGGCGGCGGCGGCAGTTGCTTCCGACAGGGTCCCCGAGCAGCTGTGCCTGCTTCGACCCACGGCCCTAATCTACTGCCGCCGCCATGATTGAGGGTGAGGTCACCCCCAGCCTGCTTCCGTCACGCAACGTCAGGGCGGGCCGGGACGCCGAGGAGCGCGGGAAGGGGGCGGGCCCGTCCTCCCAAATGGAAGCTCGGACAACTGAGATCTGGAGGTTTCTTCGCGCAGACGTGACCCGGAAGAGCCTGCTCCTTCTAGCCCGCTCTTAGGAGTCGCTCAAATCTATGATTCCGGGGGTTTCGGAGGCGCGCTCTGCCTAAGTCATTTCCGGTCCTAGAGGGCTTGGTGGAGAAAGAGGGGGGCGATAACGGGGAGTGAACGGCTGTGTACAGAGGAAGGCAAGTGTTTCTGTGGAAAGAAGCGTTGCTGCATATCCTCCATATCCAGAATATGTTCGCTTCGACAAATATATTTTGAGCTTTGAGTGTGTGCAAGCAGGCACATTATTTAAGTGTCAGTGCTGTGGCATTTGCACCTACGTGTCAGAGAAGATAGACCTTGAGGACTGGAGAGAATTTCTAGGGAGATGATGAAGGGTAGGGTAGAAAGCTTTCTAGTCCAAGGGGACATCTTGAGCAGAGACGCTATATGGAGACAGAAAACCTTTAATAATTTTAAGAGAGTGTAGAGGATCAGAAAGCTGGATAATGATTAATGATGATAGAAGGAGAATTGATGATACCTTTGAGTTGTGGTGCTGGAGAAGAGTACTGAAAACACCATGAACTGCTAGGAGAACAAACAGGTTCGTCCTAGAGAGGATGAGACCAGGCTGCTCCTTGGAGACAAGGATTGTGAAGCTTCGTCTGACATACTTTGGACTTGTTGCAAGGAAGAATCAGTCCTTGGAAAGAGACGTCATCCTTGAGAAGGTGGAGGAACAGCTCAAGAGAGGAAGACACTCGATGAGATGGATTGATTCAGTGACTGGGGTAATGGGGTTAGGTGTGTCAGAGACAGTAAAATTGGCACAGGATACAGCAGGATTTAGGGCTGTTGTACATAGGGTCGCTATGAGTCGCAGACGACTCGACAGCACATAACAGAATAAAGGAAGTTAAGATTGCAGTGGAATCCTGTGATCACAGTACCCAGAATAAACTGCGATTAGTCATTTATTTACTCGATTCACAGTGACTTAACGCGAAATCCTTGACGGTGATAAAGAATTGAAGATAAGGAGTAAGAATTGAGAGGTGATGAAAATCTTAGGATGTACCAAAAGGGTACAAGGTTTCTTTTGGGGTTGATAAAAATGTTCTAAGATTTACTTTAATGATGATTGGCTAACTGAATTATTCATGAATTATAAGAAATGATAGGTACTTCAATAAAATGACTTTAAAAGAACTAAAAATCTGAAATGATAGAAGGCTGGTAGAAAAGTAGATTGAGACAAGTGTTATAGGACGCTTTAAGCCTGAGTTACAAAATGTGCCATTTACAGAAAAATAGGAAAGAGACGTGCCAAGAAAACTTAGTCTTTAAGAAATATAATAATAACATTAATACCCCATATCGAATCCATATTTCGATTTTCCCAGTTGCCCAGGTAATTCTTTTTCTCTCTTTTAGTCCACCTAGATGTAAAAACTCCAAGTGCTGACTCTATGGGAAGCTTTTCTTTCTTATCTCCTGGTTCTAGGAGATTCCCAGCACAAGGACATGTGCTCCACTATTTCTTTGTTAGTGGTAGTAGATCCTCCCAACGGAGCTCTAGTGGCTTAGTCCTTAGGGTTTGCACTGCTTACCCAATGTGAAGCTTCTGGGAGTTGAAATCAACCAGAGGCTCAGTAAGAGAGAAAGATAGTAGTCTTCTGTATAGTTTACAGCTTAAAAAAACCCCGGAGGGTCAGGAATGAGTGTTCCCACTCATCAGTGAGAGTGAGAGAGCTCCCTCTCACCTAACACTTTTAGCATTCGTTTATTATTCTTGGATAATTAATCTTAATTGAGCATAGAAATGAATTTAAATCTTAATCAGTATTCAGTATTTATTAGCTAGCATTAAATAAGAGTGTTTCCTTATCAACTGGAGCTGAAATAAAATTGGTCATAATAAATAAATAAACAAATAAAAACCCAGGGTAAATACTTAGGTATTTCCTGTAATTATAAAGCTTCAGAGTATGGTGTTTATGTTGATAGTTACCGTGTGGTGAAATGAGTATACTTTTCATTTATATTCTTTAACACCATGGACAAGTAGATTTTTATTTATTTAATATTTCTGAATATAATGCATTCCTTTTTTTTAACTTCAAAACTGCCCAGATACTTTTTAAAAGTAAAAATTTTATTTGTATTGATTTCTTGATATTCAATATTATGCCAGTTTTTAATGGCAAAAAGTTATTCCACTGAAATTCCACTCTTTCCAGGAAATAGGTAAAAATCTGAAGACAAAGCACTTCCTAACAGCATGGCTACTGAAACTGCAGACCTGTTCAGTCAGCACTCACACAGTCCATGTTGTGAGTTGTTCAGAACAAATGGAAGCTACTAGAGTCTTTTATACTGGGAAATGGATGAATGCAATCTAGAGTTTAAATCACTCTGTTGTGTGGAAAATTTATTAGAAAAGAGCAAAAGTGCAGGCAAACCAGAGAATAACTGAAAATAGTTATTAATAAATGTATCATTCTGATTCAAGTTAAAAAAATGCAGGCAAGTAAGCTAGAGATCTCTTTTCAGCTGTCATTTGATTTTTCATTTTAAATTAATTTCCAATGTAGAGATTAGAAGTTAAGTTTAATGTGCAAAGCCCACATTAACTTGTAGTCTTCTCCTCTATGTCCTCTGCAGCAAACTTATGAATTACTGTCTACTCTGCTGACTCAATATCTAATTAAAACCACATAATTAAGCCCTAAAATGGGAATAGGTGAGGCAATGCCACAAACCATGTTTTTGTGACTAACCTAACAGTTAGCTAGGTATCTGTTGAGCAGAAAATGGGACATGGAGACACAGGGCTGTGAGCATCTTTCTGAAAGGGCCAGAGCAGTGAAAATAGCACAGCCACTCACCCCACTAGAACAGAAAGCAGATAAAGAGCCTGTAGCTCAGACCTATGATGCCTCTTGAGCTACACCAACAGCAAGAGGTTCGTTGATTTGCTGTTTACTCGTAGTTAAGGTACCAAAAGTTTATTAGGGAAATAGATTGGGGAGTGGGAGAGTCAATATCTTGAATACAAGTTGAAGTTTAGTTCAGCAGTCCCAAGCCAGATTAACAGCAAACCACAATTCCTTAATTAGTAAAAGTCCTGGTTTCAGTTCAGCAGTCAAATCCAAATCATCCAGCAGGGTTTGCCTTAGAGCAGTTACAGGTCAGCTTCTCCTTCAAACATTTGACAAGAACAGCAAAACTTTTTTAACTATGGCCTTTCTCTCAGGCCTCCTCTGTTTCCACCTTGCCACATTCTCTTCCCCCACCATCACCAGGGTCTTCCTCCAGTCTCCCTCAAGTCTTGCTACTTAGTATGGGAAGCACTCTCTCTCATATCCTAGTCCCACAACTCTTGATGATTTGCAAGACCATGTGTCTACAGTTAAGGTAGCTGGAGACCAAAGTGGACTAAGGTAATGGCCAAAAAGCCAACTTTACGTTAACACCGCACTGTTGTGTACCATCAAGTCAGAACTGGCCCATAGCTGCCCCTCCAGCAATTAGGTTTTCATAGGCCATAATTGCATGGGAGGAGATTATCCATCTTTTTCCAATGGAATATCTCAAACCATGTGCCTAGGCAAATGAGCTTACCCAGGAGTGGGATATTTTTAAATATTTCTAAAATGCTGTTTAATAGTTTCTTTGTAAGAGCTAAGACAGTATAAGAGGAAATTGGATCTAAAAAGCTATAGATTGGTTCTCATTATATATACTCCTAATAACTCAGATTGGGATAATTGGGATGGGAGTGTCAGAGACAGTGCGATTGGCACAGGACAGAGCGGAGTTTAGGGCTGTTGTACATAGGGTCGCTATGAGTCGCAAGCAACTTGATGGCACATAACAGCAACAACAATAACTCACTCCAGGAATTGTACCTGAGACTCTTATAATATTCTCATCACACAGGTCCCAACCTGATCCTTGGTGAATCAGCAAAACACTGTAGAAGCTGTGGTAGAAGAGAGGTATTATCGTGGAGAACCAGGACAGGGCTAGAAAGGGAATATTAACTGTATTGCAACGCTTTCCTTTAAAAATTAAAATCTTGAAGGTAATGTGTTAAATGCAAAGTATCAATTATGGACAGTAGTATATAGCACAAGGAGGCCTGGTGGTGAAAAAGTTAAAGCATCGAGCACTAAATGAAAGTCTGAGTGTACGCATCCACTTGCCCCACCAGCTGCTTTGTAAGGGAAAGATGAGGCAATCTGCTTCTGTAACAATTCATAATCTTGGAAACCCTGTAAGACAGTCCTACTCTGTTGTTTAGAGTTTTAGAAGAATTGACAACAGTGAATTTGATATGGTACATGGATATATTAATTATTCTTTGTCATTTCATGCATTTTTCAATGTCATAAAATCATAAAGATTAAAAGTTTCAAAAAAACAGAAACGTATTGTTCTAGACAGTGCTTTATCTATTCTGACTTTTCATTTTTATAGGTGGCTTTAGATTGCTGTTCCCATTCTCCAACTCCAGGTATTTGGCAATTTAAAAAAAAATGTAATCCAAATGAGTCAATATTATTTCATTCTGATTTAAGAACATTAAAGAGAGGTATAATTGTAGGAATCTGTTTTTAGGGATGGTGAAGAATGAAGTTACTAATGTAAGAATTAATAAAGTGAGAGGAACAAGCCTATCACCTACTTTAGCTTAGTTATCAGAATGTTGATCTAATTGAGGACAACCTTAATTAATGTGGTGCCCACTAATTATATTGTGGTTAAATCTTTACCTTGCTCCACATTACCAGTCTTTTCCAGTAAGTGCAACAATCTGTCAG